TCTTTTCTTTTCCCCCCCCTGCGACCTTCTACCCTAGCTCAGTACAGCTCCCCGTCGCTCTACCTCCCAACCCCCCCCCCACGAGTTGTTCTGAATTTTTTTTGGCATGTTCCAGAAGCATTCTCTCCTGACGTTTCTATGGCAGGCATCTTCAGAGGTTGTGAGGTCTGTTGGAAACTAGGCAAGTGAGGTTTATATATCTGTGGAATGTCCAGGGTGGGAAAAAGAACTCTTGTCTGCTTGAGGCAGGTGTGAATGTTGCAAATGGCCACCTTTATTAGCATTGAATGGCCTTGCAGCTTCAAAGCTTGGCTGATTGCTGCCTGGGGGAATTATTTGGTTTGGAGTTGTTCTTGTCTGGAATTCCCTGTTTTTTTAGTGTTGCTCTTTATTTACTGTTCTGAATTTTAGAGTTTTTTAAATACTGGTAGCCAGATTTTGTTCATTTTCATGGTTTCCTCCTTTCTGTTGAAATTGTCCACATGCTTGTGTATTTCATTGTCTTCTCTGTGTAGTCTGACATGGTGGTTGTTAGAGTGGTCCAGTAATTCTCAAATAATATGTTATGACACAGCTAATCAAGGTGGCCAATTACAACATTTATATCTGCCTCAAGCAGACAAGAGTTCTTTCTCCCTCCCTGGGCATTCCACAGATATAAAAACATCACTTGTCTAGTTTGCAACAGAACTCACAACCTCTGAGGATGCCTGCCGTAGATGTGGGTGAAACATCTTCTGGAATGCTTCTGGAACATGCCCATACAGCCCGGAAAACTCACAGCAACCCAGTGATTCCGGCCATGAAAGCCTTCGACAACACATTGAATGAAGATCACATTGTACAGTTTAATACTGGAATTCCTGTGAGTCATTTTTGAACACTTTGTTCAAAATGTTTACCACTGAATACATATGAAGTTGTTTGCTACAATGAGCCTTTGGTATCTGCCAAGGAACCATGCTACTAGCAATAGGTGTTTATCTTTTAAAGTCTCATGTAGGAACAAGAGCATAGTCTAATATGGATAGATAGGCCATTTTTTGAATGCTGATGATTGTCATAGTTGCGCAGAGGCTCTCTTGTGCTGTTAATGCTTTGTCAAAACATTGCAGTGTGGAAGTGGGAGGAAGCACATGAAGCAGCATGGCTTCTTATTTCTTTTAGCATGTCTTTATATATTTTACACATCTGCCTGTTGTAGCTCAGCAAGTAGCATAGGATTTTTCAGATGTTTCAGAGGATGAGAAGATGGATAGGTTTCACAGTGAGGAGTTTGAGAGTGATCAGAGAGAATTGCAGACAGATGAGAGCGATGGTTTGGATTCCTGTGCTCGTTCCCAGTTCCAGTTCCCTTGTGAAAAGACCATGGGTCGATGGGGAGTTTTCTGGGGAAACTATATTAGGTCTGAGAAGGCAAGGAGTGAAAAATAGACAAACGAGATATTCTCAGAGAATCCAAGATAAGACCTTGAAGTCCCAGGGTATGTGGCATGCTCTCATGGGCACCTGGACAGTGGTTTGGGCTTCAAGCTTCTCAGAGGAGACAACATTGCCATAAAGGATGGCTTTCCTGTCTCTGCTCTCAAGTTCATGATTCAGATTTCCTGTTCTGGTTCAGACCTTTGTTCCTTGGAGAGTTTGCCTTGGAAAAAGTTCCTGTTATGTTTGTTTTGTTTATGGATTTATGTTTGAAGTACTGCTGTGGATTTTGGTTCTCTTGACTCTATGTACTTTGTCATTTTTGGATTACTGCTTTTTTGTATTTTCTATTCTACAGACCCTTTTAGAAATGCCCCCTTTTCCCGCTTTTTACCTGCTTTCATTAATAAACCTTTTTAGATAGTACTACTGGACTCTGGTGTGGTGCGGGTGAAAAGGTGTTTCAGTGCTAGAGTGCAACACTGCCTAGGATGAGAAAGCAATGCATAATATTTGTGTTCAGTTTTTAAAAAACAATTCAAGGGAATAGTTATTCATTGAATCATTCACCACATCAAGCAGTTGTATAGAACTGTAATGCATGCCATGCGCTTTCAAAACCTCTATTACACTGCATTCTTTTCCAGCCAGCTTTTAAAAAGACGGGAGGTGTGTGTACCCCTGAAGATTGAACAACTTTCTGAGGAACTAGATGCTTGGAGAGCCTGTACTCAATCACTAAGCAAGTAGGTGTTCAATGATCCTGAGTGAACCTTAGTTGATTGATTGATTGATTGACTGTATTTGTATACTGCCCTTCTCATCTCTCAGGTGACTGAATATCTTTGAATATCTGATCTTTTACCTTTGGTAGAAAAAAAACTACCAGGAATTGTGTTTAGATCAGTAGTTCTCAACCTGTGGTCCACAAGAACGAAAATATGGTCCGCAGCCTCACCATTACTACACAGTTGCCTCGAAATCATGTATTGAGAGCAACTGCTCTCGGAAAAACCTCTTATAACACCAAGGCAACAGGGATGTCAGGAGGGGAGAGGCTGACTACCCACAAAAGATTGCTACTACCACATTAGCTCTAGATTATTAAATATGGTTTTCTGTGGTCGAACAGATGGCGACTACTGGATGGTATATGTTCTGTATCAAAAACTAGAGCTGATGTGGTCTAACCAATGCAGTTTTCTGAATCAGTACTTCCAATAACCAAATAGAATCTAAAGTTGACCAAAAACTGATTCATAACCCTTTTGGTACTAATGTTGGAGAGTAGTCCCTAGTCAAGTGGTCCCTGGTCAAAAAAAGTTTGGGAATCACTGGTTTAGATTCTATGTGTTACAATCTTCAATTAGCATTACAAACAATCTGTATTTTTCTCCTAGATCTTCTGATGAATGTCCACATACACCTCCATCTGAGTTACAACAAGAGGTTTATGAAACACTGCTCTCACGAATAAAAGAAGAACCTCTGAAAGTCAAAATAGGGCCAGATTATGTAACTGGCTCTAACCTTCCCAGTCATTCAGATGTTCATGTCTCTTGCTTGACAGGATTAAGGATACAGGTATTGATGATAGAACTGGATGATGTGCCCTGTTTGAGATCTTTGCAAATGCAAACTCTTTGATCATAGCTTGTAAATAAGAAAGCAGAAGGCTGCTCACACATTTGAGTTTCCCCACTCAGTTCTTGCCACTGCACACACCTGCATCTCCTAAAATGTATATAAGCCTCATTTTTTTCAGATTCACCTCCTCTTTCCCTTCCCCATAAACTTATTTCTCATGTAACTCTCTCACTGAATCTCAAGTAAGCCTTGCGATGAAGAGAGGGTGACCAATTGAACAAGCAGCTTTGCATTCACTTTAACGTTTGCTACAACCCAATGTTGTAAGTTATTATCAAACCTATTTTAGTTTTGTGGCTTGAAGATATCCAAGACTGTAATTCTAAAATTACTTTTCTTTGAATTACGTTTCACTGAGCTCAGTGGGATTTACTTTTAAGCAAAGTAAGCAAACATGCTTTGCGGAATATTGCACTTCTCACTGTTTGTCATCCTTGTAATTCTTGCAGAGCTTAAGCAGTGAAAAAGTAGGGTCAACAAAAACAATATGGTATCAACAATAACATAATAATAATAATAATAATAATAATAATAATAATAATCAACTTCCTTTGTATCCTGCCCTATCTCCCCATGAGGACTCAGGTCGGCTTCCAAATTGGTAACAGGCAAACATTCAATGCTTATCCAAACAATGCAGGGATAGATATAGATCTATAATTAACTATATTAATTTTACATATGCATTTTCCCTGAAACATTTGCAAATCCTCTCTCTATATATGTGCATTTCCCTCCTGCAATATTTAGAAGCCTTATATATCTATATTCATATATATCTATCTAGACATCTCTGTATATAGAGATAATTATATCTATTTAGAATTTGCAAAGACTTGCAAACGTGTGAGGGGAAAATGCATATATATATATATATACACACACACACACACACACACACAGAAAGATATCCAGATATATAGGTACCTCTATATATTTATCGATATCTATATCTATATAGGATTTGCAGAGACTTGCAAACATGTGAGGGGAAAACTCATATATAAAAATAATGTATACCTATAGATGCAGATATACAGGTGCATGGAAATCTCTAGATATCCATATATGTATAGGATTTGCAAAGACCTGCAAACATATGAAGGGAAAATTCATGTATCAAATTAATGTAGACAGACAGACGATAGATAGATAGATAGATAGATAGATAGATAGATAGATAGATAGATAGATAGATAGATAGATAGAGGTACATAGGGATTGCAAAGGCTTTCAAGGGGAAATGCCAAAATATCTGTAAGAGAGAGTAACAAATGTTTCAGGGGAAAATGTTTTTATAAGATTAATGGATATGTGTGGTTTGCAAAGACTTAAGGAGAAACATGGATATATAGCAATGGTTCCCAACCTTTTGGCCTCCAGGTGTTTTGGACTTCAACTCCCAGAAATCCCAGCCAGCTTACCAGCTGTTAGGAACTGTGGAAGCTGAAGTCCAAAACACCTGTGGGCCCAAAGGTTGGAAACCACTGATATATAGAAACATATTTATAGATCTATAGGGCTTGCAAAGGCCAGTGAACACTTCCAAAGGAATAAAAATGCACATATAAAGTTAATACATTTAGATACACACAAAAATCAGGAAATGGGGTGGGTTTGAAAGATAGCCATGCATACAAAGAGGAAATGAACTATATCTCCTTTCTCTCCTTCCCTCTGTTTTGACTGGAAAAGAAACACTGTTAAGGGACATAAGAGGAGAGAGAAATATATCATATATTGCAAGCAATGGCCTCCAGGCTCCACTGCCCAGCCTTGGCCCCATTATAAGCGGAGGGTGGCTTTTTCAGCTCAAAAAAAGGGTTGAAAAACTCAGCTTATCTTCAAGTATATACGATAGCTATAAAATAGCAAGAAAGACAAAATGATCCTTGTTTAGTCTTGGATCCTTATTTTAAGCATACAGTTATTTGGAATAGTACATTTAGCCAGATGCTATTCTACAAGTGAACTGCCCTTCTCCTTATAGGACTTTTACTTTGTTTTCTTTGTTCAAACTGCTTATATTATACAGGGTCCGGTGTTTTTTCTTGAAGATGGAAAGTCGGCAGTTTCACTTAATGATGCATTGATGTGGGCAAAAGTGAACCCCTTCTCTCCGTTGGGAACAGGAATACGACTCAACCCCTTCTAATGCACAAGAATACTCCCTTTTATGAAAATGAACAAAAACGTGTCAGCTATTTGTTGCTATTAGTTGAAGGATTTAGGACTGAATCTTCCTTGAAGGATAGTTTCATGAAGTCTGCAAATTTTATATTTAATTTATATTATTATATTTGGTAATCCAAAGAAAGGCAAACATAGTTGGCAACCTGGAGATTTTTAAAAAGGATTTCACATGCTATTTCCATGAACAAAAGACAATGTCACATTCATGTATAACTTATGCTTCTTAGAAAAGTGTCTGTAAATTGCTTTTGGAATCACGGGTCTACAATGAAGGGTACATCATTCATAGTTTAGATTAAGTCTTGTATATGTCTCCTCCTGGTGTAAATTAAGAGCACAATCTACAAAACTGCTTCGATGCAAGATCATGGAAACCAATCACGTTGATACAGCTCTTCATGATGGATCGTGTTCTGATGAATCCAGTAAATGATTAATGAATCTAAATTAAATTGTTGTATTATAAATACAGATTTCCATTTAGCAGATTTTTTGAAATATTTAGTTTTACACTTCAACTGACATAAGATTTTTTCTTCTATTTTGAATATCTAGATTTGCACTTGACATTTCTCTTTATTTTCAATTAATAAGCTTATTTCTAAAAGTTATTTTATGAAAAATACCATGTAAGTAAATTACTTGTTGGAATGCCTCTAAATACCATCATGTAAATGTGGAGAATTTAATTCCTTTAATTTTAGTGATTGTAAACGGATGGTATTCAAAGTTCTGAAATGCTAATAAATTGCTGATTTTTTTATACAAAGGATTTATAGCTATGATTATTTTCTGGAAAAAGAGAATTAGTCAAACAAACTGTAAGAAAAAATGTACAGCATGTAAACTAAGAATTTACACTGATCACCAGTATCCTCATTTGACGATACAGTCACTCTGTTGGATCAGGATCTTCCATTTCCAGCAACCACAAATCATTATATTAGTAAATAGTGGTTATATGAATGTGTATGAATATAAATATAAATTTGAATGAATTTATTATCACCCCCATTAAAAAAAATAGAGAGCATGATCATGCATGTTTTTTTGTATCCATGGCGGTTCCCAGAATGAATCCTTCATAGATACAGACGCCCCACTAGACATGAGTATGAAATTCGATCCTACAGTTTCTACCATTTTTTTTGTGTCTTCCATTTCTTCAGAAGCATGAAACGTGAAGCCCCCTCCCCACACAAAAATATGTTAGACTCAAAAGCCTGCTTTCGTATGCATCCGAACTTGCCTCTTTGTCTTGGAAAGAGAGAATATGTGTGGTGGTGCATACAGGCAGGCCGGCCCAGAGCTTGGCTGTAACTGAGCAGCTCTTACTCTAGAGTAAGCAGCGCTGGGCTGCAGGCGAGTGTACTTTCTGGGCCTGTCTACTTGCATGTGTCACACACACTCTTTCCAAGGAAAGAGTGTGTGTGGTGAGGCATGCAAGCAGGCCCGGAAAGCTTGCATGCCTGCCAGTGCCTACAGTTGAGTACCTGTTACTCTAGAGTAGAAATAGCAGGTGCCAGGGTAAGAACACATGCTGGGAAGGGGAGCCAGTGGATGGGAAGCTTCCCCACCCTCCACTCCAATGGTCCGAAATGAAAGAACCAAAAATAACCCTCCCCATTTCAGGAGGCTTACAAAAAATGGATCGGGACCCCCAACAAAAGCCAGGACATGAAACAGAACAAGGTTTTCCCTGAATGCACATGCTTAGACCCTACTTTACTTGATAGAAAATAAACATAGTTAAGGTAGATGCTCTTTCTCGAGTATTGCGCTGCTTATTACTTTTTAAAGCTTCGTTCTTGGCTTTCGGGATATGGACCCTGAGAACCAAATTCCATGGCCTCTCAATTGGAAGATCATTTACTTCCTCCGCCCATGTTGCATTTTGCCTGTGATGGAAGTGCAGTAGTTCTTTCAAAGACTCAAATTGTTATTCAGGATACCACAATTCAAGCCATCGCAAGTTGCAACACCTGGCCCATATTGCATTTAAAAAGTTGATATTGGACATTCACACAATAACGTCAACAACTGGATGGCATATGTTCTGTATCAGAAACTAGAGCTGATGTGGTTTATCCGATGCAGTTTTCTGAATTGGCACCCTAAATAGCCAAACCGAGTTTAAAATTGACCAAAAACCAAATCGTAGCCCTTTTGGTACGAATGTTGGAGAATGGTCCCTGGTCAAGTGGCCCCTGGTCAAAAAAGGGTTGGAACCACTGCAATATACTAATAAAATCCACATTTTCAAAGGCCTCTGTTTATTCCCTTATATGCCCCCTGCCAAATTACTGGCAGTGAATACACTAGCTGCTGTTAATGAATTACTAATACATTATTTTTCACATACACACTTGTTAATACTGTTCTCCCATTTATTATTTTCATCCAAAGTCAAAAATACTCCATGATTAACCAAAAGTCAGACAGGATAACCCAGAACTCAGATTATGTATGTGCACTAGCTGCACATGGGCTTATTTGCTACCAATCTGGGTATAATAATAATCCTGCCCTCAGGATTATTATGCCAACCAAATTGCTAACAAATAAGTGCAACCGCTTATTAAGTGCAAATAGTTATCTATTTGGAGTTTCAATTGTTAAAATAAAAAAATAAAACCTTTGTACAAGCTTGAGTGCATTCTTGATAAAATGCACTCAAGCTTGTAAATTTCATCAGAACTTTTTAAATTGTTTTACTATTCTGTAGAAGACAATAAGACCCAACTTATGCCGATAATCAACTTTATTAGAACATCAACCAAAAGGATGAGGCTTTTTAACATTAGAATATGTAGAGTGAAAAAGAGAAATAGGAAAACTACAAAGTTCTTATTCTGTATTCTATCCCACTATTTAACACTTTGTTGAAGGCCCATGTTTCCGATATAAGAAAGAAACTTGATCATAAGCCTTCTGTTGAGCCTTCTGTTATTTTTAAGCATGGATCTCTTTTATTAGTTACAGTTTAAAATGGGTGCCTGGAGTTTCCACATTGATACGTCCATCAAAAGGGAGCCTCTCAGCTTGCTTCACCTGGATGGTTTTGAAGTGGACACCCATTTTGCCTCTGATTTCGGTGGAAGCTAGACAAAAGCAGGGGAAAAGAAAGTTAGCACTCTTCAAACTTAACCACGGCATCATATAATACAGACATGCACTTACCAACATTTGACAAATTATATGCCAGGACAGCTTTACGAGCAGCTGCCAAGTTTAACTGCCTCCTACGCCTTTAGCTATCATTTATTCTAGAGACACTGGCAGTATTCAACAGTGCTATCTATTCTGTACAAAATCTGCATGTGAGGTAAACAACTTCTATTACAAACATGGAGTGGGTAGAGCTTTTGCTGACTGTTTCTCAACGCTAAGGTAAAGGTAAAGGTTTCCCCTTGACATTAAGTCTAGTTGCATCCAACTCTGGGGGTTGGTGCTCATCTCCATTTCTAAGCCGAAGAGATGACGTCAGTAGACACCTCCAAGGTCATGTGGTCGGCATGACTGCATGGAGCGCCATTACCTTCTTGCTGGAGTAGTACCTATTGATCTGACATTTGCATGCTTTCAATCTGCTAGGTTGGCAGAAGCTGGGGCTAGCAGCGGGAGCTCACCCCACTCCCCAGATTCGAACCGTCGACCTTTTGGACAGCAAGGTGAAGAAACTGGAGAAACCTTACTCAAACGGAACCAGGTGTCTTTTCTTTGCAGAGGCAAAACAGGAAGTGATGACTTAAATTCTTAGGACTTAACTACAAATGATAACATCTACTTGAGAGAAAGGGTGTTTCTGACTGCTTTTCTTTTTTCCTCTGAAAGAAAGGAAACTGACTGATAAGGACAACACAATAAAACTAGCTTTCTCTCTTTCCTTCCCTTGTCCTGCATAAGAAAATGGAGTCAAATGGGCAGGTGACTTCAGGAAACTTAATAACATATAGGGGGGAATATACAATCAAGGGTGCATCTTCGCTGTTAAATTAATGTACTTTGTAACCACTTTAACTGCCATGGCTCAGGGTCCTTCCAGGCAGGCCCTATATCCCAGTATCTGATTCCAGGTTTTCTGTTTATCCCAGATTATCTGGCAGTGAGGACTCATATAATCCAGTTTAAAGCAGAAAACCTGAAATCAGATCCTGGGATATAGGGCCTGTCTGGAAGAGTCCTCAGTGCTATGGAATCCTCGGAGCTGTAGTTTGGTGAGGCACCAAACGCTTTTGCAGTGGCTGAGGATCTTGTAAAACTAAAATTCCCATGATTCCATAGCACCAGGTCATGGCAGTTAAAGAGTGTCACACTGCATTAATTTTACAGCACAGCTGCATCCCGAGAAAGAAAAAGGTTGCTTCTGCTTACAATCTCTTGCACATAAACACTATCCACTGTGAATCTGGTGCACTGTGTACTCCCAAAGAAGAGAGCAGAAGCAGTGCCCTCATTTTGTCTGATTCTGTTGATCATAATAAATTTATTCCAAGTGCCCTCATTTGCTTTTGCTTTCTGGAAGGGACAGTATAGAAACGGAAAGTAAAGGAAGGTGCCTCCACCTGCATCTCACTTGGTCCACAGAATTTTCCTCTGGCAGTAAATTTTTGGAAAAATGGCAATCATAACCTTTTTGAAAAGAAAAATGTGAATCTCCATGAACATCTGGAGACCACCTTTTAAAAACCACTACTCAAGGAAAGGCATGACCTTGTTAGAAGTCAACCCTTTGAAAAAGTGATGTTCACAAGCATTCATGTAATGGCACACAGGTAACTCAGCTGTTAAACTGATAAACCATGTCTTTGAACTGTCAGGGACAAAGACATGCCACTGCACAAAAAACATATACTTAAGAGTTTTGAAAATGTTTCTTTGAAGTTGAAATTGCCCAAAAACATATACTCTCCCTTGAAAACTCTTAGTTTAAAACTAATCACTTAGAGACAGAAAACAAAGTCTTCATTAAAAAGTAGCACATTTTGTTTACTCACAAACATCTTGTATTAATTTAGCATACAGGCACATTTCTTATTGAAGTTCAGTTATGGATAGGATATAGTTTCTTTGTGTTGATAACACAGGGCATCATTCTTAATCAATAGTTCATAGTCCAAAGTCTTTAAGTATACAGTGTTCCCTCACTTATTGCGGGGGTTATGTTCAAGGACCTCCCATGATAAGTGAAAATCCACGAAGTAGGGACACTATATTCATTTTAATATTTATAAATTATTTTAGTAGTTATATGCTTAATCTCAGGGGAAAACCTTTTTCTTTACCTTATAAACAAAATCTTTCAATCGCTGCCTCTTGCTCCTCCGTGTACTCAGGGTTAGCCCCGCCACTGAATGAGAAGTCATGAGAGCTTGCCCGCCTGAGCAAGTGCATGTTTTGCAGTGCCTGGTGCACACACGTGCTCCAGCCTGCACTGCCTGGCTGCAGGCTCCCAGTGGCAGCTCCTCCTCCTTCTCTCTCTCTTTCTCCAAACAGACCCTCCTCTTCTTCTTCTTCTTTTTCTTCTTCTTCTTCTTCTTCCTCCCCCTCCTTTTGGCCCCAGGCTCCCCGCCTCCCCTTCGCCAGTCGGAGGACACAACTTGAGTCCTCCCAGGGCCACTTGTACAGTGTTCCCTCACTTATTCACCAATTATCACCTCCAGAGCCACTTCCGGGGCCGCGGTAGCACAATAGGCTGCACTTTGTAACCAGCAGGCCTTCCCCACCGTGCCTCAGGCCCGGCCCAAACACCAGCTTCCCTTTCTGAGACCCATTGGCCGCCAGGCAGAGCCGCTCACCATCCACCACCGTGTAAATAATGTAATGTTTAATATTTTAGATTGATATTTATTTAAAACCGCAAAACAGTGAGTCTGCGAAAAGCAAACTGAGAAGTAGCGAGGGATCACTGTACATCTTATGACAGTCCAAACTGTATAACTGTACTCAGTGCTTCTCAAAGCAAATATATAATAAACTGTTCCTGCATAAGTTCAAAAGACATCTGCTTCTACTGAAGTCCAAAAGCATACGAATAACAAAATGGAGTCTTGAGTCTGGACATGCTCAGTACAATCACATGCCTGTAGTCTCTCCCACACCAAAGAGGTCACTGAAATTGGCAAATCAATACACACACACACAATACAGATTAGCAAATACCTACATTAACAAACAAATAGTGAAGACTTGAAAGGTTGCTATTTCCAACATAAATGTATCCAATCGATCAGCATCTGGACCACAAGTTATCTAGTCTGGCTTTAGAAGATCCCACTGGCCTTTCCTCCCATGGACTTGGGGAAGGGGGAAGTAGTCTCACTTGTTGTAGCAGAAATTCCATCCCAATATTCTAAACAAGACTGCAGCTTAGACTTTTAAGTACCAGGACAAAGCTTACTAGTAGGTCCAAGAGCAGGTTTCTCCCTTTGAAACGTCTGTGAACTCAAGGTAGGAGTCAGAAGAGAAGGACGACGAATGGCACGTTCTCTCAGCGTCTGCTTGATGCCAAACCGGGCTTGAAAATAAAACTTGACATGAGCAACATGCATACAGTTAAACGCTCCAAACTTTTAAAATTTACACTGTCCTTTCCTAAAGCTGATGAATACTTACTTATAAATATTCTAAAAAATAGAAAAGATTCCTGTTGGAGATTTACATCTTCGTAAATGGACTTATGTATATGGAAATTAGAATTATGCAGTTCTATAACACCCATATTTAGTAGAAGGCTGATTTACATAGCACAGCCAGTAACTTCATAACTGTAATTTTGCTACTGTTATGAATCGTAATGTAAATATCTGATATGAAGGATGTATTTTCATTCACTGGACCAAATTTGGCACAAATACCCGATATGGTTGGGTTGGTGGGGGGGATTGATTTTGTCATTTGGGAGTTGAAGTTGCTGGGATTTATTGTTAATCTACAATCAAAGAGCGTTCTGAACTCCACCAATGATGGAATTGAACCAAACTTGGCACACAAAACTCCCATGACCTACAAAAAATACTGGAAGGGTTTGGTAGGTATCGATCTCGAGTTTTGGAGTTGTAGTTCATCTACATCCAGAGAGCACTGTGGACTCAAATAATGATGGATTGGACCAAACTTGGCACAAATATTCACTATGCCCAAATGTGAACATTGGTGGAGTTTGGGAAAAATAGACCTTGACATTTGGGAGTTGTAGTTGCTGGGATTTACAGTTCACCTACAAAGAGCATTCTAAACTCAGCCCACAATGAATCTGCACCAAACTTGGCATTCTACCAACATGGTGAAAATTGCATGTGATGAGCTATTTTTGAATTCTGGAGTTGTAGTTCACCAACACTCAGAGGTCATTCTGTACCAAACTGGTGATAGAACTGATGTGCATTGGTATCGTACCGCTGTATCTCTCATTAATCCCAATGCACATTGGGCACTTCTGCAGGCATCCCGTTAAGTAAGTTCACATTTCAGTAAAGGGGTCTCAGTACCACTGCTACTTAGCTAACCATAAATATTTGATATCTGATATTCATGACACTGAAATACTATATGAACTGTTCGTATAAGATTCCAGCATCATAAATATCAGATCTCAAATATTTATGCTTCACTCGTATCAGCACTACAACCAAAAGATAAAGCTGGGCATTCCATCCTAGAATGTAACTCAAGAGTCTGGTATCCCAAGAAGATGGTGAAGAAACACATTTCTACAATTTTTTATTTGTCAAGATGAGGTATATGAGAAACCTAATCCAAATGATGTCTGAACTGACCAAATAAAAATAAAAGTAATAATCAATACATCGTCTTCTCTTGAGAAAAACTTACATCACAAAGGATTACCACCTCAACTGCTTCATAGAAAATATGCCACAAAACAGGAGCTTTTTTGTTGATTCCAGCGCCAGAGAAGCAGAAAACAGAATGGTTTGCTGCAGGGGAGTGTGCTTGCTCCATCAATGTTTAACATCTACACAAATGATCAGACACTGCCAGAAGGAACGGAGAGTTTCATCTATGCTGATATTTACGCAATCACTGCTCATGCAGGGAGCTTTGAATTGGTTGAATAGAAGCTCTTCAAAGTTTTAGGTGCCCTTACTGCATATTACAGGGAAAACCAGCTGATTCCTAATCCATCTAAAGCAGAGATGTACTTTTCATCTTAAGAACAGACAAGCATCTCGACCTCTGAGGATTACCTGGGAAGGAATTCCACTGGAACACTGCAGCACACCCAAATACCTGGGAGTTACCCTGGACCGTGCTCTGACCTACAAGAAGCACTGCTTGAATATCAAGCAAAATAGTGGGTGCTAGAAGCAATATCATACGAAAGCTGACTGGCAAAACCTGGAGATCACAACCAGACATAGAGAAGATATCTGCCTTTGTGCTTTGCTGCTCTGCTGTTGAGTATGCATGCCCAGTGTGGAACACATCTCACCACGCTAAAACAGTAAATGTGGCTCTTAATGAGACATGCTATATTTTCACAGGATGTATACACCCTACACCACTGGGGAAATTATACTGTTTAGCCGGTATTGCACCACCTGGCATCCGCCAGGAAGTAGCAGCCAATAATGAAAAGACCAAGGCAGTGACATCTTCAGCCCATCCTCTGTTCGGATATCAACCAGCATGCTAATAAATCAAGAAATAGTTTTCTAAGATCCACAGAGATACTCGCAGGAACACCTCAGCAAGCAAGAGTCCAAAGGAGGCAGGCTAAAATTTGGAACCCCAAGACATGGCTGATACCGAATGAGAAACTCCCACCTGGGCACACAGAAGACTGGATGACTTGGAAGATGCTGAACAGATTGCGTTAAGGTTGGCTCTGCATCTACAAGATGCAGAGCCAACCTTAAGAAATGGGGCCACAAAGTGGAGTCCACAACATGCGAGTGTGGAGAAGAGCAAACCACAGACCACCTATTAGAATGCAGTCTGATCCCTGCCACATGCACAGTGGAGGACCTCCTTATAGAAACACCAGAGTTACTTCAAGTGGGCAGTTTCTGGTCAAAGGACATTTAATATAATGCCAAGTTTTTAAACTTTGTGTTTTTGAGATACATTTTCAACTGTACCTTTGGTTTGCTTCTGATACAATAAATAAATAAATAAATACATGTTTTAATTGGAACAGCAGCGCATAATGTCAAAGGGAGTGGGACAAGATTTACATGTCCCATACAATTTTATTTTTCCACTACGAATATTTTAGAAGAAATATTGCTTAGGCTTCAGATTCAAACTCCTTTGAATACTGAAACAGATCAACCTGTAAGATTGTCTTTCTCATATTCCTCCTCTTTTGCTCTTTGGTGTTAATAAGATGTTGATGTTCAAAACTTTCCAAAGCAAAATATGGCAGCTTATCAGTTGGTTGTCAGCATTCCTCTTAATTTGTACAATGCACAAGTTTGGAAAGAAAGGAGATAAAACAGGGGTGAAGCAAACATATTTCTGGCGATGCCACAATCTCCCTTCTATCATCCCATGTTTTTTACTAGTTCCGTATTCTACTAAACATAACTTAGCATCAGTTGAAAAATATGTTTATGCTTCATGCCACATTTGGAAAGAACCACTCACCTGGATTTTGTTCCCTTTCTTGCCTCCTTCGCTGCATATGCAAATTGATGACAGCATTAATTTTCTGCTTGTTTTTGTTTTCATTAGGTTCCACCATTATTTCTGTTAGCTTAACATGGGATTTGATAGCCCTTGAAAGAGTGGATCTAGCAACCATTGGTAACTTATCCTCGTAAATACGATCTGTAAAGTCAACCTCTTCATCCTGGATGTGTTTGATCCTTGAAGAAGGAGAAAGTTGTAGATATATATACAACCCATATATACTTGAGTATAAGATGACTTGAATATAAGCCAAGGCATCTAATTTTACCACAAAAAACTGAGAAAACTTATTGACCCAAGTATAAGCCTGGGGTGGGAAATGCAACAGCTACTAGTAAATTTCAAAATAAAAATAGATGCCAATAAAATTACATTAATGGAGGCATCATTAGGTTAAATGTATTTGAATATTTATCGTATTTCAAAGAAAAACAGTAAACTAGCTCTGTAAGTGAAAAACGAGGGTCAACAAAAACAATATGGTATCAACAATAGCTTAATAATAATAATAATAATAATAATAATAATAATAATAAATTCATTTGTATCCTGCCCTATCTCCCCATGGGAACACAGGCCAGTTTCCAACATAGTAACAGGCAAACATTCAATGCCTATATAAATAATGCAGAGCTAGATATAGATCTATAATTATATATACTAATTTCACATATGCATTTCTCCTGAAAAGATTGCCAATCCTCTCTATATATGTGCATTTCCCTCCTGCAAGCCCTATATATCTACATTCATATCTACCTAGACATCTATATATATATGTATACATATGTGTGTGTGTGTGTGCATTTCCCCTTCAATATTTACAAGTCTTATATGTCTATATATATAGGGCTTTCCATGTTTCTCTATATATTTGTGTGTGCATTTCTCCCCGTATTATTGCAAGCCATATATATCTATATTCATATATATCTATCTAGACATATATAGATAATATATAGATAATTATATCTAGGATTTGCAAATAATTGCAAATATGTGAGGGGAAAATTCATATATAAATTTTATATATATATACACACACATATACATACACACAGAGAGATATACAGATATATAGGTACCGCTATAAAAAGGTAAAGGTTGTCCCCTGACATTAAGTCCAGTCATGTCTGATTCTGGGGTGTGGTGCTCATCTCCATTTCTAAGCCGAAGAGCCGGCGTTGTCCATAGACATCTCCAAGGTCATGTGGCCAGCATGACTGCATGGAGCGCCGTTACCTTCCGCCAGAGCGGTACCTATTGATCTACTCACATTTGCATGTTTGTATTTGCCCTTGTATTTGGACTCTGCAAACTACTTTACTTGCTCACCAAGTGAAAACACAGTTAGATAACCTCAAGTACACCGATCAAAGAATAGGCAGCACAAATTGTAAAAGCATATAACTTTATCATAAATCAACACCAAAATATAGACATCTGTATGTAACATTCACATATAATGTTGAAGGCTTTCATGGACAGAATCCCTCGGTTGCTGTGAGTTTTCTGAGCTGTATGGCCATGATCCAGACATTCACACTTGCCTCAAACAGACAAGAGTTCTTTCTCTCACCCTGGGCATTCCACAGCTATATAAACCCCACTTGCCTAGTTTCCAACAGACCTCACAACCTCTGAGGATACCTGCCATAGATGTGGGTGAAACGTCAGGAAAGCATGCTTCTGGAACATGGCTATACAGCCCGGAAAACTCACAGCAACCCATTCACATATAACTTGGTGAAAAACAAAACTTACCGCCTGTTTGTCAGCATGGTATATATGTCCTGTACAAATATTTCAGCAGCTCCTGGTTTACAATGAATTGTTCCATCGATTAGCTCTCGGATGGGCTTCAGGTTTCTTTTGGCAAAGAACTGTAAGAAAGAAGCATGAGAAATTCGAACAAATTAATTAATTTCTTTTTATCCAGAATCTGCTTTTCACTTGAAACAAACATAGATGCATAAGAATTTAAAGCAACAAAATCATAACACACAAAATCTGAGCACCACAGGTGACAGGATACAGCGATGAAAGATATAAATCTGACTACAACTACTGCAGAATAATCAAAGATCAAAAGGAATATTTCAGCATTTAAAAAAATACGGAAGTGCCAATGTGGTCTAATGGTGTCTTATGTGTTTGACTGGGATTCTGTGAAACCAGGGTTTTAATCCACACTAAGCCAAGAAAGCTACTGGGCCAGACTCTCTGAACATCAGAGAAAAGAAATGGCAAACCTACTCCGAACAAATCATGCCAAGAAAACCCTGTGGTAGGGTGAGTTTATGATTGCTGTAAGTCAGACATGGCTTCTGGGTACACGGCAATAGCAACATGTCAAGAGATCATAAAGAACATTTCAATACCATGGAAACAAAAAGAGTACAAGTAGTTATGTTACAAGTATTCCCAGTGAAAACATATATACATAAACTATATGCACAACTGGTCAGTCTATTATTGTTATCACTATTCCTCAGAATTAACGGTCCCTGAACTAGATGAGATTTATTTCTGAGCGGACATGTAGGAATTTCTGCCAGCAATTCAAAGAGGCAAGAAAGAATAATCTGACCCACTGACTTCCTTGAAAAAGATCAACAATTATCTGAAATTCCCAGAATGCTGCATTGGCTTACCTTTGCAAGCTGTGACCAATTGCTTAGTTTGGAAGCTAAGGAGGTCCCATTTTCAAAGCAATTCATTTGAATGTCTTCTGGGTAATACCAAGAGAATATTTCAGCAATGAGGAAGCCATTTGAAAAATCTCTGTGCCAAGATGAAAAGGAGAAAAGATGAGTTCATCGGGAGTTTAACTCCAGAGACAGTGTGGAAAAGTAGTTTGTGTGTTAGACTGAGGGTGCATCTACACTGTTGAATTAATGCAGTTTGACGCCATTTTAACTGTCCTGGCTCAGCGCTATGGAATCTTGGGAGGAACCAGCACATTTTGGCAGAGAAAGCTTAAGGGCCTTGTAAAACTACAATTCCCATAACTCTATACCGTTGAATCATGGCAGTTAAAGAGATGCCAAACCACATTAATACAACAGTGTAGACACAGGGTTTGATTTCCCACCAACTGCTGCTCTGAGATCAGAGTGAAGAGCAGGACCAGGAAGGCAGTTCCATCTTGTCTCCTGCAGTGTGCTTAATATAATATAATATAATATAATATAATATAATATAATATAATATAATATAACATAACATAACATAACATAACATAACATAACATAACATAACATAATATACATATAATATTGATAATATTATAATGTAATACAATATGTTGTTCATTCAGTCGTCTCCAACTCTTCGTGATCTCATGGACCAGCCCACGCCAGAGCTCCCTGTCGGCCGTCACCACCCCCAGCTCCTTCAAGGTCAGTCCAGTCACTTCAAGGATACCATCCATCCATCCATCTTGCCCTTGGTCAGCCCCTCTTCCTTTTTTCTTCCATTTTCCCCAGCATAATTGTCTTCTCTAAGCTTTCCTTTCTTCTCATGATGTGGCCAAAGTACTTCATCTTGGCCTCTACTATTCTTCCCTCCAATGAGCAGTCAGGCTTTATTTCTTGAAGTATGGACTGGTTGGACCTTCTCGCAGTCCAAGGCACTCTCAGAACTCGCAGTCCAAGGCACTCTCAACACCACAGTTCAAAAGCATCGATCTTCCTTCGCTCAGCCTTCCCTAAGGTCCAGCTCTCACATCCGGAGGTTACTACAGGGAATACCATGGCCTTGACTAGGCGGATCTTGGTTGCCAGTGTGATGTCTCTACTCTTTACTATTTTATCGAGATTGGACATTGCTCTCCTCCCAAGAAGTAAGCGTCTTCTGATTTCCTGGCCACAGTCTGCATCTACAGTAATCTTTGCACCTAAAAATACAAAGTCTGTCACGGCCGCTACGTAATACAATATACTACTACTAATAAAATATTATAATTATATATTTTATATTAAATGTAATATTACTAATAATATTACAGTATAATGTTATAGTACAATGTAATATATAATATTAATATTGTGCTATGATAATAATATAATATATTGTATTTACTTTTTACTTGCAAGCCACTCTGAGTCCCTTTCAGGGTGAGAAGGGCGGCATATAAATGTCGTGTGTATGTGTGTGTGTGTGTGTGTGTGTGTGTGTGTGTATATGATGATGATGATGATGATGATGATGATGATGATGATGATGAAAAGAGAAGTAGGGGCTTACGAAAGGTCTTTACGGACACTTTAAAGCATCTTGACATTTGAGAATGAATGCAGTTTGATGTCACTTTAAACTGCTATGGCTCAATGCTATAAAATTCTGGAATCTGTAGTTTTGCTCTAAGGATAAATAAATATATCCCATGAAAGTACAAACCCTAGAGTTGTCTAGCATAAAGCCAAAGCAGTGTGCAGGGGTCCTCAAACTATGGCCCGGGGGCCGGATATGGCCCTCCGAGGTCATTTACCTGGTCCTCGCTCAGGGTCAACCTAAGTCTGCAATGACTTGAAAGCACACAATAACAACAACAATAATAATCCTATTTCATCACCCAAAAGCAGGCCCATACTTCCCATTGAAATACTAATAAGATCATACTTGTTAAAATTGTACTGCATTTTAATTATGGTATTGTTTTTAAGTGTGCATAGGAATTCATTCATGTTTTTTTCAAATTATAATCCGGCCCTCCAACAGTTTGAGGGACTGTGACCTGGCCCTCTGCTTAAAAAGTTTGTGGAACCCTGGCAGTGTGGCTACCTCTCCCATCTTCTAATGCTCTTTTCCCAATTGTTGGCCTCCCAGATAGTTTTGGACTTCAACTCCCAGAAGCCCACACCATGGTCCACTCTAGCTGAGGCTTCTGGGAGTTGAAGTCCAAAAGTGTCTGGGAGGCCAAGCGAAGGGTTTGCGGGGCCCCCTGGCCTCACCTGCGGAAGTGCCGAGGCGAGAAAGTCAGGTCGAGGCTCTGCAGCCACCGCAGCACCGTTCGCGGGAGCCCCGTGCGCCTCGGAATGGTGGAGTAGGCCTGAAGGATTTGGGACTCTTTCCCTCCATACGAGGAACCTGTGGAAGTCATGATGACAGTTGCCAGGGTAACCAACAAGCCCGCTCAGCCCCGCCCCTCGGAACAGAGAGACCAAAGGACGCATGCGCTAAAGGGCATACAGAATTTTGTCGCCTGGCAACAGCTAGAGTGGGATGTGTGGCTTGAGTTTGAGCCCCACAAACATAGGGAATGCTCCTTTGACCTCCATTTCTGTGAATCCTTCCACACAGCTGAATAAAATCAACATTGATCTAGATTATCAGATAATGTGGACTCAGATATTCCAGTTCAAAGCAGATATTGTGGATTATCTGCCTTGATATTCTGAGTTATATGGCTGTGTGGAAAGGCCCTGGGAAGGCCATATATCAAGAAAAGTTCTGAGAATAGTAGCTGAATTTTTTTTTTCTGTTCCTGGTTTGAAAGTGTTATTTCTTGTTCAATTCTGCGGTGTTTACTTTGAAAGTAGTTGTTATATTCCAGAAACTTCAGTTTTGTAGCTGTCACAAAGCTATGTTGAATTGGGTTGTTGTAGGTTTCTTGGGCTGTATGGCCATGTTCCAGAAGCATTCTCTCCTGACGTTTCACCTGCATCTATGGCAGGCATCCTCAGAGGCTGTGAGGTCTGTTGGAAACTAGGAAAGTGGATTTATATATCTGTGGAAATGTCCAGGTGGGAGAAAGAACTCTTGTCTGTTGAGCTAGGTGTGAATGTTTCATGGCCACCTTGATTAGCATTTGATGGCCTGGCAGTTTCAAGGTGAGGTTTGTTACTGCCTGGGGGCAGGCATGTAGCCGGGGGGGGGGGGCTTGGGGGGCTTCAGCCCCCCCCCCCCGAAATTCTCATGGTGGTTCGCGAAAAGGCCTTACTGGTGCATTATTTAAACTGTTATGTTATTCATATCATGATCTGATCACCATACTCAATATATCCCATATGCATGGGGGTATTGGGGTAATGATACAAAAGGTTTGCTAGGCTAGAACCTCTTTCACTCAGACTCAGCCCCCCCCCCCAAACTCAGCCCCCCCCCCCCCGAAAAAAATTCACACACCCCCCGAAACGAAATCCTGGCTATGGGCCTGCCTGGGGGAATCCTTTGTTGAGAGGTTAGCTGTCCCTGATTGTTTCTTGTCTGGAGTTCCCTGTGTTTGAGTGCTATTCTTTATTGCTGTTGTAATTTTAAAGTTTTTTAATACTGGTAGCCAGATTTTGTTCATTTTCATGGTCTCCTCCTTTCTGTTGAAATTGTCCACATGCTTGTGGATTTCAATGGCTTCCCTGTGTAGTCTGACATGGTGGTTGTTAGAGTGTGTCCAGCATTTCTGTGTTCTCAAATAATATGCTGTGTCCAGGTTGGTTCATCAGGTGCTCTGCTATGGCTGACTTCTATGGTTGAAGTAGTCTGCAGTGCCTTTCATGTTCCTTGATTCGTGTTTGGGCACTGCGTTTGGTGGTCCCTATGTAGGCTTGTCTACAACTCCATGGTATATGGTGTTATGCTTAAGCGGAATTTAGTCTGATCCAATGCAAAAGACACAATAACTTTGCACAAAAGCAAGAGGAAAAAGAACTGAAAAGTACTCTTATCAGCTGAGTCAAAACATAAACTTGCAGTGTTGCATACAAAATAAACAGTGCAACAAACTTACATAGTCTTGTAAGAATTACAGAATGCAAAGAGCATGGTTTCTTCATCTTCCTTCAAATGAGCAGCGCAAATGGTTGAGCAAAATGCTGTGAGCATAAGCTCCTCAGAGCAAAAGCTAAACTGTATTCTAAGACACAGTTATACCCCACCGGGTGTGGCTCAAA